AGGGTGCTAGAGCTGCCTCAGTCTACCAGACTCCTAGTTACTTACTTAGCCAACTTCCCTGGCAATTCCCATCTACTCTGTCCTGTGGTCCCACAGCTTTATCCTGATATGGTATAGCAGTCATTAAGACCATCACGGTTGAATTTGAACTGGAGAGAAGTCCACTGGCCAAGTGAGCATGAGTTTTTATGCCCATTTTACACTCTAGGAAAGCTTTCTCTGTGCTGTTACAACACCACCTTAATTTCCCCCCCAAAAGTTCCAGATCACATGGATTTTCATATTGCAGTTCTACAAGTTGGACTTGGGTGTGCTTTGGGAGGTGGTAGAGGGTAAAAGAAAACCAAGGTAAGGTGAACTCATATGCTTCTGTAACATCTAGACAGCACCAGTTCTTGGGTTAGAAACATAGTAGGAGCTGAGAGTTTCCGGATCACAGTGCAGGTGGAAGATCTCCAAGATGATGCCTTTAGTAGAAGAAGAGGGAACACAAGGTAGCCACCGTGGATTTTGCCTGCCTTCGCTGGGTTATGCTACTATGTCCTTGATTTCAGACCTTGAAAAGCAAGTAAGCAAAGGGGCAAAGCTGCAGTACAAGGGACAGTGGTTCTCAGGGTGAGGCAAGCGCTTTGTGGGACACTGGTCTGATGAATTGGTAGAAAACTATACTAAAGGTAAAGGAGTTCCTTTCCTGCAGGCATGCAGACCTCTGACGTCCTAATGTGCATCAAATCTTCAGAAGGGGGTTTGCCATTTTCCAAAATTACTTCATCATGGAACTCTTCAGCACTATTTTTTCTACAGAATATGCTTTCAGACATATGACAGTCGTAATGACAGGGTAAAAATATTAGGCATGTACTATGTGCCAGAAGCTGTGACAGTGCTTTGTAAATCCCATCTCATTTCATTCTTACAACTTACTGCACCAAACATGATTTTTATCTCTATTCTGCAAATGAGGAAACTGAGTGTCATTGGAAGTCCCTTAGCCTGTAAGTAGCAGAACCAGCATCTGATTCCCAAATGGGACCCTATCAGTTACTTAACCCCAAATAGGGAGTTTCAAATTTACTGTCAGATGTGCAACTGTGACTATACACATCAATCATTTTTCACAAGAAGATGTGTTTATTAATGTGAGCATCCCTATTAGAATAATCAGCTCAGATCCTTATAAATAGAATATGATCATTCAAAGCATTGCTAAGATCCTCCTAGGATTTTTCAAATGGTGTGTGCCAGCTTTGGGGCTTAGAAATGTTGAGTCACTTGGAGCACTGCTTGTGTCTGTGTTTTGCTCTGTGCGCTTATAATGGGGGGAAAAAACTGCTCAGCACTTTCCTCCTGCACATCTACTTTGTTTAGGCTGAAATTGAAGACGGATTAATTTATGCTAATTCCACACAACAAGCCAAAGCCCATTTATCACCACTTTCCATTCCTCAGCAAAACACACAGAAACGCACCTAAGTATTAGGCAAACTAAGATATGCAGCCGCTGTTGTGTGGAGCAGTAAAAAACCGTTTATATCCAGGCACACATCAGCAAGCAGAAGCCACCCACGGAACACAGAGGGCAGTGGCACTCAATCTCTCTCCACTGCTGTCTGCTGGGTCCCACTTGCTGCCTCTGAGAAGTGACTAAGTGTGGAGAGGGAGAGGATAGCATGAGTTTTGAAACTGGGAGGGGGGACAAAAGCTGCTTTTCCCACACAAATGTGCTAATTGCCTAACAGTGTTAACACTGTTTCCTTAAGAACCACAATTTGAGAGTGAATGGTTGAGGATTAAAAGATTTAACCTTGTGATGGGAAGAGAGATGGGAGGAGGAAGGCAAAGATGGGAGGTAAAGTTCTTGTGTGTGTGTGTGTGTGTGTGTGTGCGCGCGCGTGCCTGCGTGTATGTGCATAGGTGCATATGTAAGTTTGCTTTCGTATGTGTTAGTGAGGACCTAGGCAAGGAATTTCCTCTTAGTTTTTCATTTATTTCAGATGCCACCCCTTCAAGTAAACTGTGTCTTCTTCTTGGTGGCACCAAGAAGCTGTGCTGACAGAGCTCACTTCCAGGGTAGGAAGTTTAAATACTCTTGACTCTAACCATCTCTAGACCTCCATTTATTCCCTGACAGATGAAGGGTTTGCCTTAGGAGATAACCTTACAAATATCTAGTTTTCAATATGATGATGGTTTCCTGATAATGAGGAGAGAGGAGAGAGATTTTGTCTTTTAGATTTGCAGATGATGAAATTGTATGATAGAAGCTACTTCAAAATAATCCAGTGGTTGAGACTGTGGGGATTAGATGGTGGTGAAGAGAAAATAAGATTGGCTGTCAGTGGATGGCTGTAGAGACTTAAATGATGAGTACCTGAGGATTAATTTCTGTATTCTATTCTCTCTCTACATATATATACACACACACAAACACATTCACACACCCCAAAACATTAATGCATATGTATACATGCCATCTACGTTTTAAAGTATATGATTTAGGATTCTAACAGTTTCTTTTAAAACAAAATTTTAGCTTGTCACTTGTTATTTTTTCCTGTACTATATAGTGTTAGTCCCAATGCCCATATTCAGAAATATCTTTTTAAATTTCTAATTATCTCCCACCAGCCTGAGTATATAGCATGTGTGTGTACATGTATCTGTGATGACTTGGATTCAAGTATGAGTGCTTCCGTCTATTAGTTCCAAGTCTTCGGAGTAACAGGAACCAAGGAGAACTTCTCTGTTCTTATCTGCATAATAAGGATCATTGTCCCCATTTCATTTGTGAAAATCTATGGAGATGATGTCCATGATAAATGGAAGGTGTTCTCCTGCCTGATGATATCTCACCAACCGTAGTGCTAATTCTGAAGTGTTCCTGGGCTTGGCTGATGGCACTGAGGCTTTATTTTCTTATTTCAAATGGAAAGCAAATTTTCCTTGGGTGTTCCACAAGAATAGGGCTGCACCCATCTTCTCACACACGCCGACACAGCTATTTCACAGCTTAATTAAGTGCTGCTTGACTTACAGGGAGAGAAAAGAGCAGGGAGCTTCCTTATATTCAGTGAGCCAATTCTACTAAACTCACTAAGAGAAAGAAGAAGGCTTGGCTTTCGTTTTACACTGAACTGGGTGGTGACATGAAATATACTTTCTAGTGGTGGCCACTGAGTGACAGGGATATAATCTTATGGAAACCAGACAGAACAGAAGCAGCCGAGGGTCTGTACTGAGACCATTAATATTGCAGTCACTTACTCTTGAACGTTTTTACTTTGATGACCAGAATGTTGACCTCTCGGCTCTCAACAGAAACAAGCCACAGAAAATGGTGCTTAAAGGTCACCTGCATTTCTGGGCATCAGATTCTGCTTAAATTGATGGAAGGTAAAGGTCAGCATGCTGGCTTCCACGAGGTTCATGTGGATTGTTGCTTAGTCTGGAGCTGTGCCAGATTTGCAGAATGTCAGTTCTTGAGAGGGTAGAAATTAATTGCAAACAAAGTCATTACAAGTACAACAGGTTTGACCCTGAGGTGGAAGAAGATTTGGAGGTCAGGAGAGATGCTTTCCAACACTGCGTGCGTGCGTTCTCAGGGAAAACTTGGGAAGACTGGTGTTGGCAGAAGCTATATTTTTGTCTGGGAGGAGAAATCACTGCATTTGAAGGACAGGGGCTTGTTGTCAGGACTTCACGAAGTCATGGAGCCCTCTGGATATCATACCTTCCCCAGCATCAGAGTGACTACCCTTGAAAAATATTCACTTAGCCATCCACACCCTGTAGTGCACAAAAATATAACACGCATCATCACTTTCCGGTTCTGTTCCTTACAACTGCTAGAATAGGAGCAAAAGAGATTGGGTAATTCACAAAAAATATTCCCATTGGTGGTTTTACTGGTTATCTGCTTTGCTTAGTGGGAAAAGCTTGCATGTAGAATATGGAAAAATTTAATAACAATTAGCATTATATTATTATAAATATGGATGGTCCCTGACTTAAAATGATTGGGCTTAAGAGGTTTACCCATACCAGTGTTCAGTTTTTTACTTTCAGTACAGTATTTAGTAAGTTACATAAAATCATCTAACACAGATTTGCTCTCCACAGGGTTGTCTGTAGTTGAATGTTTTGATCTGGTCCACTACACCTTATTCCCCAAACTCTTGCCAGCTCTCCAGTCCACCATCCCCAGCCTCTGAGGCCTCTCCTTCTTGTATATAGCTCATAAACATTTGAAGCCCAGTGTTTTAGGGAGGGTTTTTGCAAAGGGGTAATTAATTAATGAGAGAGGAATAAACTAAATAGAATCAAGAAAGAGGCATCTTAGCTGTTTCTCTCAGGGGTGAATCTGTGTTAGATGATTTTTTTTTCCTACCGTAAGCTAATGTAAGTGTTTTGTGCAAGTTTAAGGTAGGATGGGCTAAGCTGTGATATTTGGTAGGTTCAAGTTATGAAATGTATTTTGACTTGTGAGTATTTTCAATGATATTAGCAATGAGTTTATCAGGATATTACCCCAACATTAACTCAAGGAGCACATGTATTGATTAATAATAATAGTAGCAGCTGTAGAAATAAAAGCAAACCTTATAGAGTTCTTAATAATAAGGTACATTAACTCATTTAATCTTTGTGACCACAGAAGAATAGACCATCCATCTTCTCTAACCACAGAGTCACATTAAGATGGAGTAACTTGCCCAAGATTCAACAGCTAGCAGGTCGTGGAGCATGGCTGGAATCCTTACAGTCTGGCTCCAGGGTCTTTGCTCTTCATTGCCCCAGTACTTGGACAGGCCAACTGGAGCATATGGGGGCTAGGACAGGCTCAGGTGCATAATGTATCAGCTGTGTGACTTGTACTTTGTATGTTCGTCCCATGTGGCTTTCTTGGACTCAACAAGCCTGTGTGTGAACTGTGTGAGTCTCTCATAGAGTCTTACCTGCCTGAGTCTCTGCTTATGATGATTTATTGTTTCCTCCCCCAGCCCCACTGGTGGACCTCACTCCAACCCATAGTGGATCCGCCATGTTGATGCTGCTCTCGGTGGTGTTTGTGGGGCTGGCCGTGTTCGTCATCTACAAGTTTAAAAGGTGCGTGTCCCTCCATCCACGTCTCCCCTACCTCTTCCCCCTCCCTCTTTCTGACAGGTTCCGAAGCACACATGGCAGTGTTGTGCTTCTCCCTTGCACAGCAGTGATGGTTTCTGTTAATGTTTTAGGAAGATCCCGGGGATTAATGTTTATGCCCAGATGCAGAATGAAAAAGAACAAGAGATGATCAGTCCAGTCAGTCACACTGAAAGCAGGCCCAATATCCCTCAGACTGAACTAAGAAGGCCTGGCCAGCTTAGAGATGAGAAGGTGGAATCCCAGCTCGTAGGTAAATGATTCCCAGTAGCCATCAGTTGTTCAGCCTCTGTAACCAATGGCTGACTCTCCCTCTAACTGCTCTCTGGCTTCACATAACCACTTCCTTCTGTTCTAACACCCCTGAGAGAAACAGCTAAGATGCCTCTTTCTTGCTTCTATTTAGTTTTTTCCCCTTTCTCATTAATTAATTCCGCCTTTGCAAAAACCCTCTCTAAAACACTGGGCTTCAAATGTTTATGAGCAATATACAAGAAGGAGAGGCCTCAGAGGCTGGGGATGGTGGACTGGAGGGCTGGCAAGGGGTTGGGGTCGAGGTGTAGTGGACCAGAGAAAAAACATGGCAGCCCAACTATAGACAACCCTGTGGAGGGCAAAGACCACCACCAAAGAAGGGACATAATAAGAGTGACAAGTCTGACCATTCAGAGATTTTTGTAATGTAGCAATTATCTAGAAACTGGTTCCTGAGAACTTGAGAACAAGAGACACCAAGTTTGGGAGTGAGGATCCTAAGAGAGCCCAGTTACAGGATTAGATTATTACAGAGAAAATCAACAAATGCCCCCCCTTTTTTTCAAACTGTCCCATACCAGATACCTTAAAATGGACTTCACATTTCAGTAACCTCTCTCCACCTATGAAGTAAGCATGGGAGATAAGCAGCTAGGTATAGCATGTCTGAAGCTCAGTTGCTGAGTCCTACTATTTATTGCAGAAGAAAGTTTCCAGGAAGTTAGACAAATCCATGGAGCCACCATTGCTGATCCATTTCTTTCCCGGGTTCCTCCTGTCTGTTGGCCTCAGGAGTTGAAGCTGTAAATGTTCACATCTAGATCCTGCATTACTGACCTCGAAGAATAAATTATTACATAAGTGTTCGCACTTCACTCTAATGTCATAACGCCAAACTGTCTAGAAGGCTATTACATAAGATTTTAAATCTTTTATTTTAGGGGAAAAATGAGCATGTAAACAGAAACAGAACCCTGTCTTTACATGGATATGGGACAGGTCTCTGGAGACATTCAGGGGGAATTTAAATACAATGACTGGCTCCTATTGTAGGTAGTAATAACACCTGCAGCCACATCTGGTATACGGTTTTCACCATGCATTTTCTTTTATGGGGGACATAAGCTAATAAATTCATATCCCCCCGCCCTGCCCTGTCTGTTTACTTACAAAGTGTCTAAGATGCTGCATTTTGGGGGTCATTTGGTTCTCAGTATCATTTCCACAGGATATATGGAGCACAGTGGCTGCTTACTTTATTAAAGTAGCAATTCCTCCTTCTCCAGGAACACCTCACACCACATTGCAAATTCTCTGACACTTTTCCATTTCCAGTGTCATTAAATGAGTAAGTGTTACACGTTTTCTCTTAGGAGAGTAGCTTTACCCTCCCCTCCCTCCCCTTCTACTCAACCTGGTGACTCATCTCTCCGATTGCAAAGAGCAAGACACGCCACTCCACCTTCAACGCCAAAGCGGGGATCTGCTGGGGCACAATTTGCAATTTAAGGAAAAACCCCAAAGGCTACAGGCGACCTGCTGATCAGGAAAGAATTTCGCTCTTGTCCAGCGCATCATCCTTCATGACCACTAACTTTATGTTTCTTTTCTTTCCTCTGTTGTTCTGTTTCCTATTTTTGCCAGGAAGTATTTCCATAGTTGCTGAGAATCAAAGCACAAAAGAAATCCCTACCTATGTAAATGTTTGAATGGAGGACGCCAGTAAAAAAACAAAAACAAAAACAAAAACAAAAAAAATCAAAAAAAAAAATAAAAATAAAAAGAGTCAAAATCCAAACAAACAAAAACAAACACTCACTGCACCGGGACTTTTAATTCTTCTGACACAGACAACAAGGGTTTTTAGCTTTAAGCCTGTGCATGTGGACAATACCTTGAGGACATGTTTGGAGGGGCAGTGTACAGGTGCTCTATTTTAATGGAAAACACTCCCCTCCCCTTTTCTCTTTTTTCTGATCGGTCGTGTTTGTAGAAAATTCATAACATATATAGGCCAAGGAAATCTGCATGTATTTTTGGAAATATTCTTGGCTCTAGATTTAACAGCTATTTTAGCACTCCTGGCCGAGGGGTGGATTAGCCATCCCGGGCCTTTTCATAAGACACAAAGACATGCACAGGGAAACCCTGAGCCGTTTCTCTGTCCCACTGTCCTTACTGTCGTTTCCCCCTTCTAAGCTGGTAGCTTTGTTGGTCAGCAGAGACCACAAGGCTGCTTTCTGTCTATTCTCTGTGGCCACAGGGACAAAGATGCAAGTTGAAGATCGTGCGTGCAGGTACACTAGGACAAAAAGAGGGGCAGGGAAGCAAAGCACGTCAGAAACGGACCTTTGTTTCTTGTTCAGCTTTTCTCCTTGCAGCTTCCCCTACTCCCGTCCCAACTGAAGTAGAAGATGGAATTTTTCTCTAGTAGTTATCCTCTGTCTTGCCTTCCCATTCCTTTGCCATCCCTGTGTACCCATGATCCGTCCATGTCTTTGAATCCCTTCCTTTCAATCCCCAAGTTATCCTTCAACTGTTCCTACTTTTTCTTCACAAACATGTTGCTAGATTTTGGACATCACCCCTGATGTCTCGTAAATACTGGCCTAGGCTCTGCCAACCCTGACTCCACCACTTGCAAGTCTCAGATCTCTGTTTGTTTTGTACACTCCCAAGCATGCCAGCTTCTGTGCCCACTGCTCTGGCTGCATCCTGCCCAGCAGGGTTCAGTTTCATGTACCCTTTGTCTCTTCCTCTAGAACCTGCCTTTTCCAAATATCCTTGCCTTTTCCCACCTGGAAACATGTAATGTGAAAGAGTTGATATATGCAAAGCAGTCAAACCTGGCCATATTCTTTGGAAAAGAAAGTGCACAACTGGGTAGTGGTGTTCTTGCACATTAACAAACATCTCGTGCGTTCAGATTCTAGATTATTCTTGTGAGAAATGTTTTGAACATGTGACTGTATTGCAGGGTAATGTCTTCCTGTGATAGTTGCTATTACCACATACTTCCTTTCTCACAACAGAATAAAAATACTTGTGAAATAAACACTAATTTTACCAGAAGGAGAAGCAGGTTAATGGACTTAATGTTTGAGAATGTCAAAAAGTCTGAGAAAATAGGTCTTATCTTACATTAGGATGAGATTTTGATTACTTAGGGTGATCCTGGTGATTTCACGTGTGCTCTCTCATCTTTTGAGTATCACGGTGTCAGTAAAGGAAAAATAAGTCAGTATACAGGGGAGAAGTTAGCCCTCCAACAAAGCAAAAGAAATCCTCACAGTCCTTAAATCCTGAAAGCGTGAAGATATCCCCAGTTTTCCCAGGGTGATCATGAAAGAAGGATAAGAGAAGGGAACAAAAGTCCATCCACTCCTGGAGCCCCCTCAGTACTCTAACTGGACAAAGCCCATTTGAAGGGTGGGAGAAATCATTATGATAAACCACCCAGAGAACCTACTGTCCTTCTTGGCTGAGTCCCCAAGCCACCAACAGGGTATAACAGGATCCTGTGATGATGAGGATATCCTAAAGATCCCGATGACTCCTGCCCTAATGAAGCTTAGGCAGGGCAAGAGTAGCAAAGCTGCTGCCAGAAGTTAACCGTGTAAAAGGGGTTGAGGAGGCTCCATGTGAATCTGGGCAATGGGCTGTGCCTGGGGTGGCCACCTTTTTGTAAAACTTGATTGATTCCCAATCTGCCAGGCTTCCTATCTCATAGAAAACATCCTCATTGATTCTCTTCAGTTGGAGCCTCCCAAATTTCATCTGGAAGACTAAGTGTTTAGAAACCAAAAGAGGCTCACTCACACCAGCACAGGGAGTCCTCAGAGTTGCAGTTCAATTCATTTTAATTAGAAAATTGTGAAAAGGGGTATATACTCTTAATCTCGCACAGTGCCTTGCCTAGAGTAGTATTGTGAAAATTATTTGTCGGTGAAATAAATGAGTGCAAAGACACAGGGAAGAAGGGGCTCTAAGTCCTAATTTAAAATAGAGGCAGACATGAGATGCTTGGCATTTTGGAGAGTGACCAAAGGTGGCCAGCTGTAGATTCAGCATCTCCAGTGCCCTCATGTGCCTCTCCTCAAAGCTCCCTCCCACCTGTAGGTGATTAGTGAGGCAAGGTACTGCTCAGAGGGGACCTCATTGTTCCTATGACTGTGGCTCCTGGTTTTCAAAGTGTGGTACTCAGGCTGGAAGTATCAGCATCACCTGTAACTTGTTAGAAATGCAATTTCTGGGTCTATACCCCAGAGCTACTGAGTCAGAAACTCTAGGGGATGAAAAGTGTTGCTCTCTCTCTCTCTGGATGGGAGTAGTCCTACCAATCAGTCCAACAAGCCATCCAGGTGATCATGATGCATGCCCAAGTTGGAGAACCACCAGAACAGGCCATTCCAGCTCAAGCCCAAAGACAAGGCCATGATGTCAGCCTACAAATGGGAGGGACCCAAGTGCCTACCTACTCGCTAATAGCAGGTGCAAACACAATGAGGAGTTTGGTGGGCCTAAGGCCAGAGGAGTGTGGGGAGGGATGTGTGTGGAAGGTGAGATTCAGGGCAAGCTAAAAATACAACACTGCAACATTTTCTAAAACCCCAGAAGGCAAACTGTGCATGCTCTACCCTGAACTACCCAACCAACATTTTCTCTCTTGCCTTATTCCTAATTGGATCCACTATCCAAAATGCAGAGGTTCGCTTTGCTTTTTTTTCAGAAGTTCCAAACAGCAACTTTGAGAGCAATGGGGTGCTTGGCAGCTGTTCTGTGTTTTCCAGGATTCCAACTGAGCATTGAAATCCCTCATTTGCCAACTTATTTTTATAGGAAGCCAATTTAAAAAAAAATGAAAGTTTTCTTATAGTATTGGAACTACTTCTAATTTTAAAATGACTTTTTTGATGTATTTTTTTGTTAAATACTATGTAGTGTAATGTATAATTGCTCTTGTTTATTGCTTTTACAATCATATTTATTAAACAGATAATGTCTCTAAAGTCTTTGCCTCGAGATGTTTATTTTTACCCCCAATCTCGGTATTTAGTCAAAAAGTGATGCATTTACAAGATTTCATAACAGCTAATTACAAAACAATATCGTTAACACCACAGGCTCAAGGTTTTATTTTTTAATTTTTTTTGAACTAACAAAGTAGAATATATTTTCCAATCTAAATTGTACCTATATTTCAGTTGACTGTACAATACCTGTCACTTCATTACATTGCATTATTCCATTTCAGCATCCTTCCACACTGGTTACATTGAAAGGAATAACTTTATCCTTGTTATCAATTCAAAGTTACAAATTAACAGGGAGCAAACCCATTCAGATTTATTCGCAACCTTGTAGTTACTGAAGGACCAAACTACATGTAACTAACTGAGACTTGGAAGATGAGCTAGAGGCTCAGATGGTAGAAAGAAACCAGCTTTGGACCTGGAATAGTTCCCTTCTGTCTCTACCAGCTGTGTGACCTTGAGCAAATCACTTTAACACAGAAGATTCACTGCCTCTGTGTGTATAATTTGGAGGAATAAGACCCCTTACTATTCTGGTGTTTTGAGTGGGTGAGTCATTCCCAAGAGTTCTAAATAAATGATTCAAAGTTAGTGGAAAACAAAGAAGTGGACTGGTTCTGTCACTCTTTGGGGGACCCTCTGTTCTTTAGGTCAAAACATTTGTGCAGGCATAAAACCTTCCTCAGCACTCCCCCAATAGTACTGGAGTCAGAGAGTTGTGGTGTCTTCAGTAGTCTTAGTATGCATGGGAATTTCCTTTTTTTTTTTTTTTTTTTTTTAATGGTTGCCTTTAGTTTTTTCGTTTCCCACAGACTGATGACTCTTACCCTGCATTGCTCTTCAGGCCAATCTGTGTCCCTTCAGAAGCAGATTATCTCCTGTGTCAGTCAGAGGTTAGCCACGCAAACAGCCTGCCTAGATATTTCACACAAAGGGGATTTAATACAGGGAATTTGGTACTTGAATAATGGAAGAGCTGAGATGCCAGTTAGGAGCAGAGAAGGCAATGCTGAGATTAGCCTAATGAGGACATCTCTAATTTCCCTGGTCTGGAAATACCAGGCATGATGAGAGTCTTGGAACCAGTACTGACACATGGAAGCCAAAGTCACAGCAGATGCATCTGACAGGAGCAGGGGGCAGGGCAGTGATGGCTGGCCAAGGGGAGGAGAGGGCAAAGGCAGCTTGTCCTTGCTCTGGTTCTTCCTGGGCCATCCTCCTCACTGCCCACACCTGGCCAAAAGCCAACAGTCAATGATACCTGGGAAATATCATTTACTGAAATAGCCAGAGCAAGGGTGGGTAGGAAGTCGACCTATGAGAACACAGGCAGGTGACCTGCACAGACTCCCTTTAAATCCAGCCTGTGTGGAATCCGCAGATCTCTCCCAGCCCAAAGGGAGTCTTTACACAGGGAGAGCTCCATGCTCTGTGATTTTTCCCACATAGTTAGAATTTGGCATTGTGTTTATGTGTGGCAAGTTACTCCTTTCTTTCTGAAGTCTATGCTAATTCAAAAGAGGATCATTTTGATTTGATTTCATTTGTTTTATTCCATTCCTTCAGCGTTCAGCTCTGGACATTGCCATTAGGGGGCACTAGATAAATGTTTGATGAAACTCAACCCTTGATTTTCAGCTTAGCATTGTGAGCAAGTCCATTTTATTTAGCCACGATCTCAGAGGTGGCGTCATGGGTCAAACCTAACCCAGCTTGCACCTCTAATTACATGTCCAATTGCTGTTTGTCAAGAACCAACACCTCCTGCCCTTCCTCTCTGTTACCACGCAAGCTGCAGGATTCGGCGAGCTATTCTTAGACAGTAATTTAAGTGAAATAATTGCACTTTAGAAAAGAGGGGGGGAAATTGGCTAGAAAGTGGAATAAAAAAATCAAAGGTCCAAGTTTGATTTCTAGATCGTTATATAATTTGTTTACCTACTTCCTGAGGAGTTAATAGGATTTTGAAAATGCATGTTTGGCTGATGTTTGCATGGTGGGGGAAATCCCAAAATAATTCCAGATGAACAACTGCAAGGAAATGGCTATTATACATTTTAGTGTTAAATACATGGACAGGAATCTGTGGTTTACAGAATACAGATATTTATTGATCTGTATGTGGATCACTGCTAGAGGTGGAGATGACACAACCGCTATCAAGGCAGTTAAAATATCTGCCTTCGGGAAGCACATTCTAACAGGAATGATGTGATTTGGTATGTCATGCACAATACTCATACATATAAGATAATTCCACATTATTATA